TTTTTTGGTTATCTTAGATATGGATCTTCTAACATTGTAATTTTCATCTGTAAGAAGTTTCAATATGCTGTCAAAGTTTAACTGAGCATAGAAAATCACTGACAAAAGGTTTCTAGAGGAGAACAACACAACAGTGTAAACTTTACAGAGAAGTTTGATTTTCTTGTTTGACAGTGAATGAGAACGAATATGATAGGATAACTTACAATTAGAATTTAGAAGAACCACTCCTCTATATATTCACGACTCCGGACTCAGCCAAAGTAATTGTTTCTTCTAACCTGAGTCCACCAAAGCAAGAAATATAACTAATCAAAGCAGAACAAAAAGGAAACATAAGAACCTAAATTATAGAATCACTAAAATCTAAACCCAATACAGGGCAATGAAAAGAAACAACAAATTACAACCAACTTAAATTGGTTAATGCATGGAACAAGCTAAAAGAGCCCAAAGTTATACCAATCACTTATAAGGAACAAAAATAAAAACTAATAATTCATAAAACTCGTTGACCACACAATTTTTCATAACTGGATTGAGATTGACTTTGAACAACAATTTAGATTCTGATGAGAAACATAGAGAACATACCACGCTCTCCCATCAAACAAACTATGTTACAAAATATCAAACATGAAATACTCACAGAGAGACCGAAGAATGCATGAGTAGAAAGTAAAAACTATCTAATGCTTCAAGAATTTGTACTTGAAAATACAATTACATATCAAACTTTACCTCTTTCTATTTCTCTTTATTCCTTTGACTCACGAATAAAATTTGGAACACCATATTTAAATCAGAAAATAGAAGGGACAACAGAAAATATCACTCATTTTTTTCCAACACAATTTGGAGTGAAATCTCACGTAGATCATTGTCTTTATTTGTAAAACTCTATTACCACGACAGAAAACAAAAGGGAAACGAGATTATATCGACAAGAAAAACGAGAAACTAAAGCACCTTTAAGTATTTGTTTTGAATCTAGGGCGTTATGGAACACGCTAACTCCAGTAAAGCTCCTCCCCATATCTGCATGATCAAAAATAAACAATAAATTTATTGGAAAAGCATATTTACAAGTTTTTCTTTCTAGAAAACAAATATAAGTAATACATAACAGAGACCAAGGTTGTGTATATATACGAGAGAGAGGTCATTAGCAAATCAGAGAGTAATACAAAGGTGTAAATGAAGAAAGGTAGGAACACGTAATATAGAAATCATTGCAGCTTAGTTTTTAAAATTGTGAATTTCCAACTTAAAGTAGGCATGCACAATTAGTTTGTTCCAATAACACAATTTCAGTAATTTACCTTGATAAGATTGTAAAACTTTTATCCTTCCCCTCCCAGAATCTCCACGGTAAACCATACCCTCAAATATTTAAGCACTTCATGAGAACACCATCCTTGAAGAACGAGAGCATAAACACAGTTACCCC